CAACAATATCTCCACACGAGCCGTTTTACTCGGTTTTTACAGTATTTTACAGTCCTTAAACCAACACACCGTAGGACACAACACACGCGCGTAAACATTTTCGAGCAACCCCTCCCACACATAACACAAAACAGCCTTGTGATTTGCGTACTTCCAAAATACACTAAAATAAGCACGCCACCACAGCGGCAGCTGCGTTTTTCAAAATTTGCGGGTACGGTAAACACGGTGGCGGGTAGTATTAGTATTAGTAATTATTAGTATTCGTATTGGTATTGGTATTAGTATAGTATAGTATAGATGTGGGTTTTGGAGCTCGCAGCTCGGACCCTCCAGGCGAGGTTTTTGTTGCGTAGGTCGGCTGAGTGAAACTTACACTGACAACAAATAGCTCCCCATCTTCGCCTCCGAAGCTGCCAATAAGAATCAGAGAGGCTTTAGGGCTTAAAGCAGTGTGGGTCCATAAGCTGCAGTCAAACAACTTCGCGTCGGACAACCATCAACGAGAACATTTCAAGCTGGATAGGCTCTGAATCCGACCAGGCAGCTCGAACCGGAACTCCTTCGGCAGCAACCGAGAATGGCCTTCAAGGAGTGCACAAAGGCACGCGATGTGCGCTGTGGCGAGCAGCACCCGAAGCACTCACAGGTGAACGTGCGCTCCCGCACCTGGGAAAAACGTCCCGGATGAGCTTCTCTCTCCTGCCGTGGGCTCTGACCTGCTCAATGCCAAGTCTGCAGACCGGAGTCCGACGTCTGACTAGACCTAGCAGAGCTCAGAAACTTCAGATCTCGCGCAGGGGCCTCTGAGCTCAACATGTGAGCCGCATCCATTCTTTCCCCGCAAACCTGCGAACTTGGTCGCGGAGGGCGGGACGGGCGTCAATATTCTTGTGCATACGATGCAGTATACGCTACATGTTATAACTTATGCCATACATCCAGACTATGTAATCAACCACGTATAATGGGGTGTTCGCTCCGTTTCACTGCCGCACCACGAAGCTCTCTTCCGACCTTCACGCCAGATCTGCAAACTCCTTCGGGGTGCAGTCGAACATCCAGCGTCATCCCAGCTTTGAAGTGGAAAGTCTTGCCGCAAATCGTCCAGGATGCCTGGCCTGTCGAACAGCACTCCAAGATTGAACTCCAGGCAGCTGGCGCATTCACACAACAACACAGTGGCAGATGCAGATTGCGACGAGGCAACTTTCGACAGGACTGAATGGCATCCCGTTGGCTCGCTGCCTATTTGCCACAGACGAGCACCACCCTGCCGATCCTGATCATGAGGTATTGTTTCCGGTGTTCCATCAAGGTTACTCTATCTTGGGCTTCAAAGCCGACAACCGACTCTCACCGTCAAAACCGATGTGACGCAAGCGTGGGTAGGTTTGCAATGCTTGCCCCTCAATCACTGTGATGCTATCTAAGTGGGTACGTAACATGTAAGTGAAGATGAATGATTATCATGAACTACATATGGCGGGTCTCTGTTGCATGCACAGGTGCGTGTGATGCATACAAACGACATGGGTGGATAGAAGATGTGGTATGCAGTGGCAGATTAGATGGAATAGGCTAGATCAGCATAGATCAGCTTAGGTTAGATTTGCTCAGAGTACAGTAGACTCGACTAGTCTAGACTAGAATAGAATGGCTTAGATTAGAGAGACAGACAGACAGCCAGCCAGCCAGACAGACAGAAAGGCAAATAGACAGACAAATAGATAGATAGATAGATGGAGACAGAGAAACCCTAAACCCCAAACCCCCTAACCCCTAAAGCCCTAAACCCCCCAAACCCTAAACCCTAAACCCTTTTGCCCCTAAACCCGATGCCAAGGCCGAGGGGCTGGGCCCTGCACGATGGAGTTCTCCGCCAGATTGGGCACCACGTGGGCCAGGCCCTCATAGTCGGTCAACACCTGCAGCATCCCCTTAATAATTAGAATACAGCCCCCTTTAAGGGTAGTATAGTATTAGTATAGGGTCCTATAACAGGGGCCTTAATCATTAGAATAGGGTTTTGGGTTTTTTTTTGTACTATAGGTATACTAAGGAAGCCACCGTCCCTTCCCTTCCTATATTTCTTGATTGAGGCCGGGCCTCCCAAACGTCGTTAACGCTTGCACGGATGTCGATGCCAGTATAGATCCGACGTGCGTTTCCTGGGGCGTCCTCGACTCGAGTCACCGGTGTGCTGCCAGGAATCAAACAAATCCTCAGTTCTCCGCATCATGATAAGCATCAAACCGAACATGATGGAACTGTGCTTGGCTTGTTGCTTACCACTGCAAAGCCTTCTGGAAGCTCAAATTGTCAGTATTACTAATATTATTAGTACTATCATTATTATTGTGATTATTATTTTTTTGTTGTTGCTACTATACTCATTATTGCGCCCAGCTGCGTGTCTGTCAAGACGGATGGGTTTGCTGCGTCGGATCCATGGCCTCCTGCCTGGTCCTGCAGCAGCTCCAAAGAACCAACCATCCTGGAAGCCTGGAGCCCCCGTCTTCAAACTGTTGTTGTTATTATTATTACTATTATTATTATTATTGCTACTCTTATTTTGTATGATTAGTATTATTATTGTTATCTTTATTGTGTCTATTGCAGGCTCCACACACCACCTTCGACAGGCCCAATCTGCAAGTTCCACTCGCACAGGTCCTCCCGGCCCAAGACTGCACGCCGGCGGCGCCGCCACAGGAGCGCACCCAAGAGAGACAGGAGCTTGCCACATCTGCACATGACACGAGTGTGACAGTATTGCAGGGGCTCCTGGCAGAATTTTCTCTTGCATTCCCAGAACGTGACTTGAATTCGCAAACTGGAACCTGGCGAATCAAGTGTCCACACACGCAGCAGAACAACCCAGCACAAGACCGAGGACCATCACGGCTACGAAGCAGCCCCCTAATGCAAAAGCGAAGCTCAGCACCTCCGTCGCAAACTGCTATCACGGTCTTGCCTTGGCACAGCTGGGATGCGAAGCACTTCAAGGTAGCACAACTTCAACCTGGCAAACTAACAGGAAGGACAAGCGCATTCCGCGTTCTTGGGCAGACGGGCCACAGAGCCGTGGTCTGCCTCCCTGGACCATTCCGGTGCCGTGGCCACAAAGCCCTGCGCGAGACGGGCGTTGCAATTCCATGGCTGGGCAGATCACTAGGACTTCCAGAAGCACCTGCGAGCTGTCTTCTTGCATGCCTCTGACGGGGACCTGTGCAGGTGCGGTCGACGCCTACTTCCTTACCTACTAAGGGGATACTGCCGAGGCAGAGAAGCATCATGCACTTTCACTGCTTATGAGGTGCTGAGCAAGAAAGACCTAGTCGGGCAAGTTTTCTTGCAAACAGGATGGTGGGAGACCGGCTAACTCTTCTTCTGAAGCATCGGCAACGCCGCTGTCTTTAACTTCCCATTTACCCGCCCTATAACTCTATAATTCTAAGTTGCCGTTCCTCCAGCGTCGTGGCCGATCTGACAGCTTGCATACTTGAGAAATGCCACAGAATTGTGGCCTGGTAGTCAAAGCATGAAGGTGTTGTGGAGCTGCGGCGCCCAGCATTGCCCATCGAGTAAAGGTCAGTACATGGGTGGGTGGGACCTGGGGTGGTTGTGCAAAAGCTTGCGTGTCCGCAGCGCTGAGCAATGAAAATCTCGTCGCCTTGCAGGTATATGAAGTCTAAGGTGCGCCTTCCGGAGCATGAACTGTGAAAAACTGAGCTTTGAGAGTCAGGAGTTATGGCTCCATGGGAAAAGTCTTCCATGCCCATAAACCATCAAACATCGAGCATCATCGAGCCGAACACGCTTCGGAAGGGTCCAGGGTGGGACGGTCAATAAAGCATTCAATCCGGCTCCGGGGCTAGAATGGAGGTATATTCTAGCACAATAAAATATAGCATAGTGTAAGCTAGTATAACATAAATATAACGTAATACAATATAACCCAATACAACATAGCATAACATAATAAAACACCATAATACAATATATCATATTGTAACATAAAATAAGATAGTACCATCTAATATAGCATAATATATGTACGATAGTATATTATACGGCCTCATCTTCTGCATTGTCCGGCAAAAGACTATGCAGTCTGACCTTGGCCAGTCGTCACGAAGGCCGCGACTTCGATGCAACGGACTGCTGTGCCACTTCATGCCGATAAGGCGATGACACGATATCAAAGAGCGTCATGAACGGGAACCCGATGAACAACGCGAGGGCTGCCTTAGCTCCGGTAGGCAAACTGGCACGAGCAGCTCCTCGCAGCCTTTAACCTGAACATAGAACTGTCGAAGAAGGCAGGGAGTGAAACAACCTTGAGGGCAACAATGTGGGAATTGCGGAAGATGAGACGCCCGAAGGTGCTAGAACACTTACTCTAAGAAGCCCAAGCTAATGACCCCTCTTGGTTGAAAGACGCAAAGTGTAACCCTTACACAGCCGGCTACGAAGGTGTCCAAAAAGGCGTAGGACACCCTCATCTGGGTTCTTGTTACGGGACTTAGTTTAAGTTGCCATAGTAAATAGTAAAGAAACCATATCATTTACTATAGTTCCCTATGATGGTAACTTAAGTTCATAATTCCTAAAAAAGAACCCCGTCATTTTGAGGACCTGGCCCCGGCGAAGCTAAGCAGCTCAGGCCGCTGAACGAAGTTTGGACTCAGTCATCAGCGGGGCTCTAAGAGACATCTCTGTGAGAACCCATGGGGGTAATTCTCTGAATCAGGGGCCCCCAAAAAGGGACCCTGAATTTAGAGAGCTACCCCACATGCTGGGGGATTTTAAGGCTCTGTGGCCGGGGCCTGGTTGGCACATTCAAGTCCGGATCCGTCTGACGGCAATGCATACGCGCGAAGTGAGCTCGCCACAAGGTCACGTTGGATAGCTGCAGCTTGTCGAAGCTCTATGTGGCGGTTACAGTATACATCTGCAGCTAGTCTCTTTCCGTGTCGACACGCAGATCAGCACGAGCCTGGATCGCCACTTGCACCACGACATGGCCAACCACCGCAATGAGACCTGGCAGAGCCAGAGCCCTGCAGATTTCCCAGTGAAACTCCGGGTCCAGGCCTAGGCCCACGATCTGCAGAAGCCAGGAGGCACCCGTCAGCAAGGAGAAGGCCGTGGACTGTCGGAAAAGGCGATTTCAGATGACATCCAATCGGTGGTTCGTGGTGGTTCTGTCTAAGGCTAGCAAAGGCTCGCAAGAGACACAATCACCAACAAAAGCTGTGCACTGAGTTCCACCTCCTGAGCTAGGATCTCGCGAACATGCACAGCTGCCTGGCGGCAATGCAAGCCCAGAAGTGTAGCAATCTTAGCTCTGATTTTGAGATGAGTTTGAAAGCCTTAGAATAGTAGAATCTTAGAATCCATAGAACCTCATCCTTATCATGCTCTCTGCCTCTGCTGCTACCTATCGGTTATCGTGGTCTGCATGCCCCTGCCGATCTGCAGATCAAAACCCGTGATGCTCACGAGGCGGCAGCAGCAGCATGGCCACTGCACGGTCTCAACATGTCTCGAAAGCGAAGTGTGTGGAAATGATATGTAAAAGGATTCGTAGTAAAGGAGTACAGTAGCACAACTCGGAAAGGTAGAACCGTCGGAACAGCACGTGTCGGACGAAGAAAGACCAAGAGGCTTCATGCAGACACCGCACACGATTTATGATTTTCTGCCGAGATCGTGACTTGTAGGTGCACTTGGCACAAAAGATATTGATTATCGTTTCCGTGGCCCTCCTGTCGCTCTGTAGGAAGAAAGTCGGGCTGTGCAAATCTCACGTGTGCTGCACTGGGCCAAACGACGTCGTGCCTCGTTGAATGGCATGGCCTGCAAGCTCACGTCCAGGAAGGCATGCCTTGGTCTCAGAAAGCTATCGGTGGTTCTCGTTTCGGCTGTCCTTCTGATGCAAAAGAACGGTCTCTCCTGCTGAACCACATGCCACCTTGATCTGGTCTCTATTCTCTCGCACAGCTACGGCGCCGAAGACAAGCACCCGGCCGCGTCATGTTCCCGAAAAACCTCCGATACGCAGCAGCGCGAATCAATCAGGGTGCGTGGGAGGCTCTTGAAACAGACCGTGAGTTGTTGCGGCCCCGGCTGGCGGTAAACGGTGAGGCAGCAATCACAGCAACCACCGAGGATGTAGCCGACAGGATTGTACTCACAGACACGCAGCAGCTGCACGGATGCAATTCGGGTCACCACCGCAACGCTCGGCACAGGAACAACGATGTCTCCTTGGACTTGGTAGCTGCATCTATCCAGCCCAAGGTGAAATGGAAAGGCGTGGCCTCAAATCGGAACACAAGCCACTAGCCATGCTGCAGCACAGTCGAAGCACTTGGCGCGGCACGACCATGATTTTGAGGCCGCCAGCTATGATGCCTCAAAGATTTACTTGCCCCGGATACTGGCACTTGACAGGGGCATCCTCGCATCCTTTAAAGCAAGCCACTTCCCAGGTGGTAGCGCACCGCCACCCAGCAGGCCCTGGCCCCGAAGAGATCCCCAAAAAAAAGGATCTGCCAGCAGAGCTCATGAAAAACCCGGAGGCCGGGGCCTAAAGAGCGAAAACACGGGCGCAGATCCCTGGTTACCTTCACCAGGTCGCCCCGCTGAAGGATCGCTGAGGGTGCAAGAGAGTATTGCTGCAAGGGAGCTCATGCCCCCAGAGAAGTACCACAGCTGACCTGAAGTTGACGGGGGGGAGGGGGCGGAAGGCAAGCTGCGAACCCAACAGAAACTTGACCCAATCTCGGCCATGAGAAGACCTGCTGCACCCATTGCCTTCTCTTGCAAGAGATGCTACAGTAGTTCTGGGACTGGGCTCATGGCTGGTGTAGACAGTCACGAACTCGCAAAAGGCGTAAATGATCCCTGCCACATCAGACAGAACGTGGCACGAGTGTGGACCGTACACAACCACTGAAATCGGCCAGGAGGCCTTGCACCCAGATATTCATCAAAACGGTAAAGAGCAAGCACCTTGGACAGAAGATCAGTGATCCGACCGGGTTTAACGGCCAGGCCCACTTGAGCCCAGAACATCCACTCGTTTGGCGACAGGGCGAACTGCCGGTTCCCAGTCCAACTGGCAAAGTCCTGGAGACGTTGAACCCGGCCAGCAAGAGCAGCCCTTCTTGGGACACTTCTAGGCGATGGCCTGGGCCACTATGTCGTAGTTCAGGGACCACTTGTAGTTCGAGATGCCTGAAGCAGATGTCCGGAAGGAGAGCTCGGAGAGCTTCTGGCAGATCCTGTGCCTGCCGTTACCAGCAGCACAGCCACCTGATGAGGAAGCACAACGCATCGTCGTAGCGCAAGGTGCTTTCGGCTCATGATTTATGTGCAGGGCAGAGGCAAGGTGTACATGCCTGGGGCCGTGGCATAGACTCCCCACACGGTGGCTAGGCCTGCTTCATTTTTGGAGGCGAGTCTGCGGCAGAACCATCGGATGCCAGGTCGGCCTCGAAATGCTACGATGATGGGAGGAGCCAGGAAAAGGCTCGGCGTGTGCAAGATGCACTTGCAAGACCTCAGGCTCCCGGGCTTCAGGCCCCGGGACTCGGTATCAGACCGCCACGGCTACCACAAGCCAGTGGGATGGTAGAATGGGCAGAACCGGTTCGGACGACGTGGGGACGTTCCAAACTTTTCCAGGGAGTGAAGGCTGAGCTTGCAGCCACTGAATCAGCTTCACAGCCTCGCAAGCCGAAGCAGGGTCAGAAGATGAGAAAGAGTCCTTGTGCTCTCGCGACTCGGACTCTGCCAGACGAGGTCTCTCGCTTCTGAGGTACACTACACAGCTACTGTTGGGTGGGAATAGCCTCCTCCATATGAAACTCTGCGCAAAGCAGAGATGTGAGAGTCGGCTGAAGTTAATGTGCAATAGCAGCAGCAGCAGCAGCAGCAGCAGCACGAACGTAGTGGGACCAAAACAGTGCCGTACCAAAAACGGGCCAATGTACGAGTTTGAGAAGCAAGGCTGGGGGCACGACGGTTTCCATCCAAGCGCTCATCTGACACGCCAGGCAAAGGAAGAATGCCCTGGGACCAAGTCAAGGAAAGTCCGTTCCTGCGGCATCAACCCGCCACCGAAAGAGCCGAGATCCATGCCCGACTACGAGGAGGCCGCAACCTGCAGCGAAGTCCTCAAAGTTAAGTGGGATTTGGGCAGATGTGACCAGGGAAGCGGGAAGGTTGGCTTCTGAGTTGCCTGATTGCTCTGTGATCCGGAGCCAGCACAAGTCTCACTCCTGGCAAGTCAGGTCTGCCAAACCACCCTAAGACCGACAGATCAAACCCTGCCGTCCTGGCAGCATCCGGACTCGCGCACCTCTGCTGACACAGGCACGCGGTGCAGGCTGCCGCCATCGTCACTGTGTGCGATTTAGATTTAGTTCAACCGGATTCCAGGTCTACAGCCCAAGTTAAGCTATTGAGAGGCTGGCCAGAAGAGATAGGCGGAGGTGGTGCCGCAAGCACCCTGACCATCACCAAGCTTTGAGGCGAAGCTCCCCTTCGAACAAAGCTTGCGAAGGTCCAGAGTCTGCTTCCCGACGCTCCGATGATATTCCGAATGCATCTGAACAGAGCTGGAGGGTTAAGGCACGGCTTTGGGCATGCACTTCAAGGTAGTCAGCTACACCGTACAACCTGCACTGCAAACTAGCCAGCTTGGCAATGACCACGAGGACTCCTGTCCTCACATGGAAGTCTGCTGCTCGGTTGCAATCTAACTGCACTCCGTCTCTGGCACCGGTCTCTGGCACCCTTCTTTTGCTCACAGCACCACATTTTCCCGAAGGCGGTCTCGAAGTTCAAGCAGACTCTGCCTCGGCTGCACTCTCCACTCAGCTTTGGTTTCCGAAAGTATGTGCTTTTCTCCTTACCTCTGATTCGTGTAGTTTAGAAAAAAATCGAGTTCGAACGTCTGATCTGGCTCATCACGAGCACTTCCCACCGCTCTCCTGGGCTTTTGACGCTTTGCACAATGCCGCGGAGGGTGCAATGTGGAACTTCCAGGCAGCCTCCTCCTCCTCGGTTGCTTGGGCCGAGAGAGAGAGAGAGAGAGAG